TTATTATTATTATTATTATTATTATTATTATCCTTCTCATCTTCTCTCTCTCTTTTTTCCCTTCTCATTGTTATGATTATTATTAATCTATTGTTTTACATACCCACTGAGAGCTTACGACAAATTCCTTGTGTGTCTATTCACACTTGGCCAAATAAAGGCTTCTCTTCTCTTCTCTTCTCTTCTCTTCTCTTCTCTTCTCTTCTCTAGCTCTGATTTCACACTTGTGGTCTTGATTTTTTGATCACATTTTGTGGATAACCTGACAATAAACAAAGCTGATCATATCTATTCCAGCCAACAGTGGTTCAGTTGAATTTTTCTCTTCTCTTTTGGTCCTTCCTTCCTTCCTTCCTTCCTTCCTTCCTTCCTTCCTTCCTTCCTTTCCTTCACAGCATTTCTATTGAACGGAGACAAACTTGGTTTTCATTGATTTCAGATCTATTTTTGTGTGTGGATGATCCAGCACTGGGGGTTTTAAGAAGAGACTGGACAGCTATTGGTCTGAAATGGTACAGGTTTTCCTATCCAAGCAGGGGGTTGGACTAGAAGACCTCCAAGGTCCCTTCCAACTCTGTTATTCTGGGTTTTTACCAACCTGTTGAATCCCTTCTGCTAAGTTGCTTCCTTGCTGCAGAGGGCAATATTTCACATCTTATTCCTCTCTCTCTCTTTCTCTGTGTGTGTGTTTTTAAAGTCACCTTTCAAGTGATTCTCTGATAGTTGTACAAATTTCAAGGGCGAGACACCCAGCAGGATTAGTACCTATTAATCAGCGCGGCAGTTCCTTCAAGTCAGACAGAAAGGATTAGTTTTGTCAAGCATTTTGCTTTTCTCCTCCTCCTTTCTGAAAAGCGTTTTGTAGGTTGCCCACGGCAGCCGTGAAAAGGGGGCAGACGCTCATTTTCGATGCATTGCAAAATCAACAGAAGCCCATTCGTTATGCTGATCAACCTCACCAAAGCCGAAAAAAGAAACGAAAGATTTGAAAGGATGGAAGGACGAGGAAAATGTTGTGACCTTTTAAATCACCATTCTTTAATGAATTATTATTTCTAATTGCCTTACCAGGTCTTGGATCTCTTCAATGACTGGCCTGCAAAATTAGCAAAAAAAAAATATGTATCAGAAATAAAAAATGGGCATATTTCCCCCACTTTGCTTTAGCTCGAGTTTTTTTTTTCTCTTCCTGATCATACTTTTATTTTGATTTGTTTCTTTAGCAGCTTGCAAAACAGAAGGAGGGGAAAAAAACTGCATAAAGATCTGTGTTTCTATACCTTTCCTGCTAATACGCACACATTTATCAATCAATCAATTAATTGATGTTGCATTCCCTAGTGCACATCGTGGCAAGCAATTTTCGCCATATATGCCTGGTGCATTCTGTACCTGGAATAGTTTTGTGCAGCGTAAAGCTGTAAATGCAGTCCAGCCTTCTGAACTACCAATATTTCCTCCTATGAAAACCCATCTATCTACTGCTGTTCTGCAGAGCCCACAGGCTAAGTTGGGGCCTACCTGGTGCCTTTTCCAGGCAGGATCCTGGCTACAGCATCAGGTAACGGAAACCTGTTGTTTTGCATCTGTGAAAGAAGAAGCAAATGGTTGCTCTCAAAATGTAGAAATTAAGAGAGGCTGCTTCCTTTCAGAAGGAAGGGAGGGAGGGAGGGA